AAAAAAAAAGAAAAAAAAAAGAAGAAAAGAGAACGAGAGAAAAAGAAGAAAAAAAAAAAACGAGTCGTGTTAATCCTTGTAATTAATTAATCGTAACTAAAGAGGATTTTTCGCCGATGTCATCACACAAAGTACGATACTCTACGATTTTCGAGAAACGTTTCGCCATGAACGTTACACGAGAGCCTAGACACCTAAGTCTAGAAATAAAGAGAAGAGAAGAAAGAGGGGAGAAAATTAAAAGTAAATAGAAAAAAAAAAAAGAAAAGTGGATAGAAAGTTGGAAAGAAAAACAGACAATACTTATTACTATTGTAACTTCGTAGAACGAGAAGAGATAACCGAGTAAGTACGTAGTGAGGGCATTAATCCAACTAGTTGCGACTAATGGATCGTTTCAGTTGATCGATCGATCGTCGTTCACGGGTCAGATTGTTTTTCTGATCGGTGTTTGAAGGAAACGTTACGAGTTTCCACGCCCTTTCGTTGCCAAATTATCTGGAGTCATTGATTTGTTATTCACTGCGTTTTTAAATCTTTTTACAATGCACGTTTGGTTATTATTTAAGTTTGTAAACTTTCGTGTTAGAATTTTTTAAGTAATTTATTTCCAGATCACTCTGGAGTAAAATAATCTCGCAGTAGAGTTGACTTTGCTATTTTAATTTTAATATCGTTCAGCGTCGACGTGCTTTGGCATTACGTTTATTTTTGGTTCGTCGCGATAGATCCGTGTGATAGATATTACTGCAACGAAAGGGTCCCATTGTCGAATCTCATCTCTGTTTTTCATTATCGAAGGACTCTCGCTTCGAAATCGAACATCCGTGTATGATTTTCGCGGCGTTGCAGAATTATAGACACGAATCGAGTTAATCTTCGAAATTCACACGGATGAAAAGAATTTTAAGGGGAAATTTTACTTGTTTACAATATTAAACAAATTAACAATATTTATTTTTTAACAAGTGTACTGTATTCTCAGTCTGTTTTATCTTTTCGTTAGAAATGAAACTACTCTGCATAAAAGAATTGCATTTCGTATTTTCTGTATTTGTTATATTCAAATTCCTTCTTTCGCGAGGGGAAATGATGTTTCGAAAGTTTAATCAATCATTTGATTATTCTATTAAAAAGAAAAAGAGAGAAAAGAATTATCATAGAATTTATACATTATCTATCGAATAATTTTATTCTTAGTTCAAGACAGAGTGTCAACCTTGCTTCCAATGTACTTGCAAACTTTACTATGAAATTCAATTCGCGTCTGTACTTCTGAAACGATTTCTCGCATATTTACATATCTTCTGTTATGTACATATCCCCGCTGGTTTGAGCAGCTACTTGATAATCTCAGGCGCGAACTCGACGAAGCGAAAATCGTAGGAAATAGGAAACGCGAAATATGGAAGACGCGGACTTCTTCGAATCGAATTGAATCTTCCGAATTATCTCGATCGCGATTTCTCGCGCAACGAGAAACCATTGTGTTGTAGAGGCTTCCCGCGACTATGTGGAAGAGAACATGATAATATGGAATATCGAAGATCGGGTATGTTTTATCGTGGACTCCGTTCGATGACAATCCTTCGTTACGTGTTGACGACTCGAGAGATAACGGTGAGACTACTCGAAACGATGATGAAGAAGAAAATAAACGAGTCATTAGATGTAAATCGTGTAACGGTATGATTAAGTTAGTGAAAATTGTGCGAAGAAGGACAAAATGTAACTGGACTGTGGACTTTTATGTATGTCTGTGCGATAAACGTATCGAATTGCAACCATTTATCGAATGAACGTAATAGTCAACAATATATATAGAGTCGCCTAAATGTTTAAATTAATCATTTTAAATTATTTCTAAACTATCCTGTTATGTGAGAAAATGTTTGAGACAAAAGTTCCATGGTATCGAGAGGTGTTAGGTGTTGCATAATGAATTTTTTTCTTACTTTACATTGGTATGCATGAATCCTCGTTTGAATTTTATGCTTATAATAAGAATTAAATGTAAAAATTCAGGAAAGTTGTAGCAAAGTTCACTTTGATTTGAAAGAATGTTGGATGTTGAGCAGAAAGCTATATAGTTACATGTTACTGTCTGAGAAATTTAAAAATTTACGAAATTTAACAAACAAAAAATTCATTATTATGTTACACGAGATATCCTCTAAATGACGTGCAATTTTTATTTGAAACATTTTCTTCGTATGACAAATTTAGTTTGTGAAGAATTTAAAATGGTAGACTTAGGTGACTCACTGTGTATAATAATATAAATGTATGTATTTACTGGATGGAAGTAATCTCTGTTCATGTTTCACTCTCTCAATTAGATTTACAAAGGTACGCATTTGCATAATCGTCCACAGTCTATATATAAATGTTTGTTGTTAACATTTGATGAATTATTTCAATATACGCGATATATCGTAATGTTCTATTAAAGTTTTCGGTATTATTATTTATATACGTGTGGGAAGAAAAGGCTGAGAATAATTGGAAATATTATTTAGTCGATAATTTCCGGATAATTGCGTATCGATACGAATTTATACGATTATAACGATTCAATTGTATAAATGTACTGTGTATTATAAATTTTGAGTTCTCTTTTTTTTTTTTTCATTCGTTATTTCAATGCAGGAATAATGTTGCGATCAATTAGTATAAAATTGACAATATTAGTAAGAAAGTTCGAGTTACCATCCAAGGTTCCATATTACCATTTTCCCTTCGGTATTTATTCTACAATGTTAATCACTTGATTTCAGTTCATTTTCGTTAGGTCTTTAATTCGCACTAATGATAATGTCACTGTGTATTGTATACTCGAAATTTAAATAAATCTTAGTCTGTTATCGAGGCTGTAATCCGTTGAATAAAATAATTCGTCCCGTTTCGTATCCTAAATAAGATATCATGTTATGAAAATATTTTTATAATTGCAAAGTAGTAATTGATGTTAAATTGTAAAGTGTTAATATTAGAATTACCAAAGTCGCCAGACTACCAATTTATAATTGTTTAGGAGCAATTAAAATTTGGATCCTTAAATTGGCCAAAGTAGTATTGTAGAACAATTGTAATTTTTTATCCCAGTGAAATGGAAGGACGAGATATTCAGTTGAAATAAATTCAAAATTTATCAATTATTTCAATCGCATGTGGTTGTAAATTAAAATATATATTTAATATATTGAAGTTAGTTTTGATGTTCAATATTTCTTGTCAAGAATCTGTTTAACAAATATATCATAGAATAATGTATTGATAGGATGGTGTCCGGTAAGTTATAACAGTAACTTAAATTTTAAACTTTCTTTTATCCATCACAGTTTTCTAATCTCTAAAGTGTAATTCTGCTAATTTCACTTCTATTTCGTTCTGACGGTGATAAATTTTTCATCGAGTTAAAAAACGAGAAAGGCACGCAACCAAAAATTTAATTTCAGAGGAAAAGAATTGATTTTTATATTTACAATCTTTGCGACACACTACATATTTCTTACACAAAATTTTTACGAATTTCACACGGTCGAATATAATTCGTATTTCAACTTCATTCTTCGAATTCGGCTTATCACAAATATCTGTGATAAATATTTCAAGTTTTCTTCCAGATGCAAGATGCAATTTAAGTTCGCGGTACACGATGCTTCCGGTCGTACGGTTCGGACGAATCGAAAGTTTCGTTCGTCTCGCAGGAACGGCAACATTTCCGTCTGAAAGCCGGCACGTTGCAGTAACGTTTCAAACTTGGTACAGAGCAGAATCGATTTTTGTCTCCCCAGCAGCGAGATGGAAATTCGATGGCCCTGGTCACGTGCCCGGTGCAAGAACGTATTTCCGTTTTCACTGTTGGCCCGTCGCAGCTGTAGAACGATTCATTCTCCGGTGGGATGCAACGAGCTATTCGCGATTGTATACCTTTCCTGTTGTTCTTTGAACACTGTAAGGAGAAAATAATGCTCGAAATTAAAATAAAATAATAATAATTTAATAACATTAATGTTATCTATCATTATTAATTATTATAATTTTATGTTATAATTATATAATATATTTTTATAATATTTATATATATATATATATTACATTACCGTGCATAAATAATTAGATGCCTGCAATTCAAAGACTGATATTTTTAATAATGTTTCTGCAATTACGACTTTTTATACTACAGATAATTTTCTGTATTTTTACCAGAATTGAGACCAAATGTTCAGTTAAATTTAACATACCTGTGTCACTCGAGCTATCATCTAATTATTATAATATTAATTATTCTTTTTATTAATATCAACTGTATATATTAAGATTAAATTGAGGAAATTGTATTTTATATTGCAATGATTTAGAATTAGTGGTACTAATTAAAAACTTATGTACGGTAGTATATATATATATATATATCAATATTTATAATGTTACATTAATTTAAAATAATAATTGCATAATAATAACAATAGTAACTAACTAATAATTGCATAATAATAACTAATAATATCATTAAAATTAATTGAAGAATCATCAAATTATGACAAGTTTACTCGTTATTTGTTGTTAAAGCAATATCTTTTCAACATATATATACATTATTAAATTTCATTAAGTTTTTAACGATATGACTATAAAAGAAAGTTCTAAGGGCACGCTTAGTATCTTTTTCTATTCCGTCACTGTTTCATTCTAAAATTTTGTGAAATCCAAAGAGATTGATGTGTTTATTATCATTGCGATGAGCTAGTTGCTGCGTAAAAATATACTGAAAATTTTATATAAAATATAAATTTTTTTTTCAAATATAGATTATTGACACGTAGTAGAAGTAAGATCGTGATTTCTTACTGAGGACCAGTCAGTAAAAATCCAACGTCCAGGGCAGTGAATCCTATTGCATTCTCTGGTTCTCGTAGGCATGGCACTTGTTTTGCATATTGACGGCTGCACCATCGTCCGATACACTTCTAATTCGTTATTCCTGTTTACCTCTGTCCCATTAAATCCCGAATGAACGCAGTATAGCTGCCGTAATTGCATACCAAACCTTCCACATGTGGTTGAACATGCCTCCCACGGGCCAGGCAGCCATTTGAAAGTACAACTGCAATAAATCAAACGAACTTGTACACGATGTGTCGATGATAGATACTTGCATCAACGATTTTCAGTATCGTACGCATGATTTATATGTGGACATTTTAGCGAATTTTCGTTAAAAGAATAGAATCTTTCCTAGAAATATATAATTGTTTCAAACATTTTCAGCGTCGATTTGGTAACATTGAATTATATTTTATGAAGAAATTTTCAAATTAATGGAATTGATTTAAAAATCTTTACGAAATCGATAATTTTTTAATCATCGGATACTTAACTAGCTTATTCTTAATTTTAGCTTATTATCTGAATTTTCTTTCATTTCACGCGTGTATTGAAATGTAGATCATCTACATTTTCATTATGATAAATCATCAATTTTACTATAAATTTGAAAGAACATTTTCTGAAAAGAAAATTCCAAATATTATATACAAGGTTATCGTTAATTATTGCAAACAATGATCTGTTCAATGAATAAATTAATTTTGAAACAAATAAATGCGACGAAGTTCCATTTTAATTTAATTCAATAAATTGTGTAACATAGTTTTTAAGGATTAATGATAAAATTAATGATAATACACGGTTAATTTGTTATTCAATCTTCACGAAAAATAATAAAAGCTATTATCGAACACATAATTATTCCTCATGAATTTATGCTTTTATACGTAGACTGTATATCGTTCATTTTTGTACTCTCAATCGATTTTGTCACAGATCAATATCTTGAATAAATATCGTTGCCATAAATAAATATTAAATGTAATCGATAGATAAACTTTATAACATGAACGAATATAAAATGAATTGGTGTTTTTAATCGTGCAGTTTTAATTTTAATTTAACAAAAAACGGTCTACCGTGAAATTTAATGTTGCAAAACAATTTGGACAGAGAACAATGAGCAAGTTGCATCAAATTTGTATTTCAAATACGTATGTTGAATACATATTTTATACAAAATTAATGTATGCTCATTATTCGGATGAACTTTATGATTTTAATTTTTTTCATTATTTAGTTCACACCATCAACAAATAAACAAAATCATATTAAAAAGTATAATTTTTGGTAATTGGCATAATTGTCACGATACATTCAAAACCAATTAATTGAATAACATGTATTAAATGCATAAGCATTTACAGTCTAATTGCAATTTAATTTGTAATTAAATATTGTGACGCATAATCGTCACAATTTGAAATAAAATTGGAAAATTTCATTTTGACCGCCTTGATGTCCAAATATTAATAAGTAATAACTGCGGATGTTTTTTATGCAAATTCATATTTTTATGAACCTGACTTAAGAAATGCAAGCTAGATAGAAATTTTCATCGACTGACTTCAACTATGTTCGCTTCTAAACTGTTTAACTGATCCATAAAGTCACTTCTAGAAAATACTTTCTTCTGCTATCCCTTCATTCACTCCCTCAGCACATATTTACCTGTCTTTAAAAAAAAAAAAAAAAAAAAAAAAAAAAAAGAAACAGTAAGTACTGAATAAAATCAACAATTTATCAGAACTAAAATATATTAACATTTAACATTTTAAAGCATATTTACGAACAGAGAACAATTCTGCTTTGCACGTCCAGCCAGTAGAATTTGAAAATAATGAGTTTTTTTACAATGAAAAAGTCAAGATTCTATTTTATCCGTAATGTGTGTTGGAATATATAGCATTCATAAGAAATATATTCAAAAAAATTTGTTAACTATGTACTACGAAAAATTTATCAAAAATATGGTTTTTTTGAATATATTTTGTTTAAACAAAAGATTTGTTTGCAAAACGGTATACACCATTAAATTCGTCGTTAAAAAACGCTAATTTCATCAATTTACACAAAAACGATATCTTCAATAAGACCCGAGATATTTAACAAAATATGTTTCGCACCCCCAACTTTGAAATTAGTTTTCATCTCCTCAACATGAACCATTGCCGATAAAAAGAAAAAAATTTCATCAAAAATTGGCGATTCCGATTCGACTTCGGGATGTTCCCTTATAAGTATCATATTTGTATTTATCACTAATTATATTTCATATATTTCATTCAATCATATCTCGTATAATTTTGAACTTCATGTGTATGCTGCATGGATTTGACGCGAATGTGATGTGACATTAAAGTATCGTAATACCTAAAAACGTTGCACTTTTCTATCTCTTGGCTCGGCTTGATTGTCAGTGGACATTTCCTTCGCGATACTATTCTTCCAGTTTTCTCGTCCTTGCAGACTATCATTTTCTGACGCGTTCCACCGCCACAGCTGACCGAACAAAAGCTCCAACCACCGAATAGCCATACGTATCTGTCCTTCGCGTTCCTTTCATCACGATTTAGAAAATAACGCAACGAAACTGAAGCCGTGATGCCTTGCTCTATTGTGCTTTCTGCTACCACCAGCTGCAGAAAAAGTGAAATCCCCAAAACGGGGGAAGTTTCAATGCCGAGAGACTAATAATAGTTTATTATTTTAGAGTGGTCGCGTAAATAAGGAAACGCGAAGATTCTTGTGTTCATACTGTCTTGTCTTTTTCATGCGACAGATTCTTACAAAATTAGAATTAATATTAATAATAATATTAAGCTTCTCCGTCGAAACATAGCAACATTTTTCCAGGCGAACGAATAGTTCAAATTTAGAAGATAATTCCATGTTAAAAGATAAAAATTCCACAAGTTAAAATTTTGTATTTCTTAATAACGAGTGAAAGACGTATTGTATTCTCTTACCAGAATCACGACATCTTCAAACGTAGTACCATCTGCCTCTATGGAATACGTGTTGCCGCGTTTCTGAACGCGGAACGCAGCACCTTGAACGATCGTCAGGTCTCGCTTACGGAAAACTAAGTTCTCCTGCACGTTCCGTCTCCTCCTACCATCCCCTATCACGATCGTTGAATTATCTGGATGGAAAAATGCGGATCCCGCTACTGTGACGTTCACGCGCAAATTGTGAGCCTCGCGCGGTACTATAGCAACGCGTGTTACTTCTGGACAAAATTAATTAACAATAAAAATTAATTACAAGAATGATTGTGCGTGATTGTAATGATAAGTAAACTTGAGAAAATAAATTAACCATCGAGTAATAAATGTGAAAGTAATTGTAATTGTAATAGTAAATGAATGCTTGGCTGATTGAAATCCCTGAGTAACTTTTTACAATATTCGTAGATATTAGAAAGGTGCAGAAAATACTGATCTTTTGGGTAATTAGAAACTTTAACGGGATATCACGCGTATTTGAGTATTCAAATAATTTCCCTAACGTTTTATTCTTTCTGTAAATCTGCAAGGATTACGAAATGTAAAGGCTCTCAGACTGAATGGAAATTCAAGAGATGATCTCATGATATTTTCCTTCGTACAAGAAAATTCAACAAGCAAAGCATAAAATTGCATAGATACGCACACAAAAGATATAGAAAATGTATACAAAGCACAGTGCTTTCTACATGTAACGTTTAGTAAGTGAAACAATTTTCTATCTAGGTTCTCTTTTTTAAATCGTATCCTGAAAAATATAAATTTAACAGTGGTCAAAGTAACAAAATTCTGATATTCCCATGTTACGTGTAAATTTTCTTGGATACACGAATATCAAGCTTAAACTTCAACCATCTACTTATATCAGCAATTTATTTAACAAGCATCGTCGCTTCAAATGAAATGACATAGCATTGGAAATAATCACTCGAATAACATTTAACACGAAATTTTGTTGAATATATCTTTCTAACGTGTA